GATTTCATGCACTTGTAACATGTTTTTACTTTATTTTGGTTTTAAATGCCAAAACTTGTATCTTTAGTTTTAATTATGTAATGAGCACTTAAGTGCACCTTTTGGGAGGTATTTAACATGTATATATAATGTAGAATTCTTGTAGTATAAAAAAACCTAGAAATTATTTTTTTCATAAGTAGTAAATAAACCAAAAAATTCAACTATTTCTAAAACAATAGTATAACAAGCCTAACCACTAAAAACTACTAAATACCAAAAATCAAGAATGAAACATGTTCGTTTATGCCTCTAACAAAAATTCCTAAATATTAATCATTCATAAAACAGAATATCGGGCCCTTAATGATGGAATTCAATCGAAAAACTGTCTACATCAGTAGTGAAGCTACTAGGATAGGGGTTTTTGGGTCAAAACTAACTAGTCAAAAAATTTCCTAAAAATGAGCCAGCTTGTCAGTTTGAACACTCCAGGCAGTCAAAAGAGAAATTTTTTTTGGCTCCAATCCAAACAGATAATTTATTCAACAAAGTTATTTTTTTTTCTCTTGTCAAAAAAGACAATTTTTTTTTTTTTTTTTTTTTTTTTTTTTTTTTTTTTTGTGTATCTTGACAAAAGAGATAATTTTTTCAATAAAGATATTTTTTTTGTATTTTTTTTTCCTGTCAAAAGAGATCATTTATACAATAGAGATAATATTTTAAATGGGTACCTTTTTTTTTTTTTTTTTCAATCAGCTCAAAAGAGGCAATTAATTGAACCGAAATAACTTTTATTTTGGATACTTCTTTTTTTTTTTTTTTTTTTTTTTTGGGTCCAGTAAAAATATATATACATATATTTATATTTAAAATATTATCTAGAAAAATCAACGTGCCATGCACGTGACGAGAAATGATTATTGATTTTTTTTCCTTCCAGAAATTGCTTTAGGGTCTTTTTTGCAGTATAATGAAGAAGTTGACAAAAAAAAAAAAAAAAATGTATATCTAACATGTTTATGTTGTGTTAAATACTTAATCAAGTGATTTAATAATTAGAGATATATTGAGTAGACTTATTCTGAAAAATACGGTACAAGAAAAAAAAAAAGATTAGTAAATTAGGCTTAATTAAAATACGAAAGTTACACTACTATAACTCCTCTCCAAATTAAGAAGAAGAGGATAAATCATCAATAATGATATCAAGGAGCCATGATTCCCATAAAGCTCTTATCTAGCTAACTCGTGTCCCACTCTATTGTATAATCTGGGACACCAAACTGGCTAAAGACCCAAATTAACATTCAACTGAAATTTTATGTCTTCAACAACAATGAATCATATGTCTTACAGGTAACTCCTCTCTTTTCTATCACCTTTGGAATAAACCAACTAATAATTAAAAATTATTATTATTAATTTTTTTTAAAAGAAATGCTATCAAATTCAAATCACAAATTCTATTACAAACTTTAGATAATAAAGTTAAAAAGTATCTCCATAAAAACCAGCAACAGAAAACTTGAATTACTTACTCTAAAAGTCTTTGATATAATTATGTACATCAGTGGATTATGATATAAGATGTGCCAGCTAATTGTCAAGAACCCAAACACACGCTTGAGATCCTCCTAATTATATGCATGTGAATCTAACTCTTTAGTCATATCTAAATCTATGTCCCTTTTGATAAAAATGGCACAACTGTTTACTTTGATAATGAAAAATATATTAGTGAATTTGTTATATCTACTATCATTTATTTTCATTAGAGATGTGATTTAACTTAATTACGTAACCATCAATGTGAAGAACTAAGGAGAATAGGAAATTGGTTAAAAGGTGTTTGAATTTAAAGCTAATTCTTTGTCAACAATCTATCCAGTTTTAAAAAATATTGGTAATTTGTTTAGTTTAGAAGGGTGTTAAAATGTATATAATATTTTCTTAAGTCCAATAGAAAGAGATATATATGTATGTGTGTGTGTGTGTGTGTGTGTGTATATATATATATATTCATCCATAAAAAATAAAAATAAAAAGATGTAATAATATTAATTTGGATTAGGAAGAGACTTAAAATGACAGGACGAATATTAAAATGTTAAAATTTTTAAACACCAAGGAAACCAATATATATATATTTTTATATATATCTATACATGATAGTAAAAGAAAAAGAAAAAAAACCTGAAACTCATTGGATGCATCATTGAGGCCATCATCCATATACTGTGTTACGTAATCCTAAAATCGCAAAAATTTAGTTCAATAAGGAAGACAGAGTTAGAGTTTCACGTGGAGATTTCAAATAGTACTTCTGTGAAAGAGGTCAAAGATTGGATAATGTTAAATGGTGATGATAGTGGAATCATTGTATTTTATCCAAAAAATAAAAAAATAAAAAAATAAAAAATAAAAACTCACGCTCTCTCTCATCTATCTATGGCTCTCTCTTTTTTTTTTTTTTTTTTTTGAATGATTTCTGCAACTCTTCATCAACAAGATTCAATCAACAACCAAATTAATGACTCATTGCTCCCAAACTTCTCTTCTTTGTTAACAACCATCTCCGGACCTCATTTTGTCTTTCTTCTATTTCAATGTTTTCGTGCCAAAACTTCCTATTGAATTAGTCCTTTCCTAACTTATATATATCCTTAGCACAATCAATTGATGTGCAACTTTTGCCGATCATTTGTGTCGTTTAAAAAAGGAAAGCCATGAACGTATATGTTCCTTGAAGAAAAGAAGCAATGTGCAGTTAAGATCAATATAATGAAACGTTGCATGTTTCTAAATTAAATTATTAATAACAAAAATTTAGTCCAAAAGGTATTAATTCACTGTTTTATTTGAAATACAAAGTAATACAAAATTGTTAAAAATATATATAAATAATAATAAATGTTTAAATTTCATATAAGATATCCTATCTTATAATAGAACCAATAGATATGAAAGTTTTGCCAAAGATTGTGTCTCTTGGTAAAAGATGAAAATGGTACGTGAAAACTATTTAAAAATATTTTTTAATTAAAATAAGCATTTTAAAGTGTATATAAATATTATATATTGAATCCACTTTTATCAGTAGTATATATATATATATATATATATATTATCCAAAGAGACCTAAAATATTTAAAATTAGAGATAAAGAGAGAAATCTGAAAGGGCGGTTGGGTCATTTGAAAAATAATAAATATTTACTTATAAAGTTAAGTTTATAACTGTAATTTCGTTTAAGAATGGAGTGCCCTAAAAAACGTGAAATACCAATATCACATCCCTAAAATATTGATTATTAAAAACCATAATATAATTTTTTTTAAGGACTTGATCCTCGAAGTTGAATAGCCTTTGAGTTATCCAAAATTGAAATGATATAAATTTGACACCTAATCCTTATCACAAATCAAGTGTTACGAGTGTTACGAGCTTGCCACGTCACTTTATGAATAAAAATGTTAAAAACAAATATATATATATATATATATATATATATATATATATTTATTTATTTATTTGAGAAACTCATAGACCGCTTTAAGAAACGACATCACTAATGACATTCCAAACTGTTTTTCCTTCGTTATGTTTTAGAAGATGAACCTTTGTTTTGTGGACTGATGGTTGGAAGGCTTTGCAAAGGATGATTTGAGTTTCTATGAGACTGGAAGGAAGAATAGAGAGATCTACCAACAAACAAATACAGATGAACAAGAAGAAGGTCGTCGTCAGGAACAGTGAACAAATACAAGCCCTCAAACAAATAAAATAAAATCAATAGAAAGAGATACAATATTATGCTATTCATCTGATGCTAAATTATAATTTTTGTTTGATCGGAGAATCAATATTCATCGTCGATAGGACATATTGTTATTTCAGCGAAACTACAACAAAAATCCCTTTTGGGTCGGTAGATACAATATCACATGTCCAATTTATATATTTTTAACTTAAAATATATAAGCTATTTAAAGGATCCAAGTCTGCTTTTTAAATGGTTCATATTTGAGGAAGGCATAATATTTTAAACGATAAATTTGAGACTCATATTTCAGAAGTCACATGACTAATATACATGTAAAATTAGATGTAAAAGAACAACTTTCTTTTAATAATGTGTCTTCTCAAGTTATTGCAATGTATCATAATACTATAAATATATAAACACACAGAATCACCAACAAATAAGGGGCACAGTAGAAAACTAGTAATTGACTAAAATTTTACATGTTTTGGACCAAAAACATTTTGGGAAAATCAACAGCATGCAAAAATTAATTTTCTGAAAATTTTAATTTTTCTTCCATCTAAACTCCTAAAAAATTTAAAATTTATTTTCCATTTTTCTCTCTCATGTCTTCATTCATTAATCCATTTATTTTTTATACTAAATTGATATATTTAATGACATCGTAAATAAAGTTTATATATATATATATATTGACATAAATTTTTCTTTCATTTTTTTCAGTTTGATATATAAATTAATAATATAACAGAAATTGTGGTGAAAGACCTATTTAATTAATCATTTGGTAGGTAGACCTATTTAATTAATCCTTTGGTAGGTGAAGTTTGGGCGAAACCGAAAATAAAGCAATTCGCTATCAACAATTCACGATCGATCGTGCTGACGTGGCCTTCTTATCTTGACATCTGGCTGTGGCACTAACGTGGCATTATGATCGATTGTCCTTTTCTCGTAATTGATCGTGACATGACTGATCGGATGACGTGACAATAGACATGACTGATTGAATGACGTGACAATAAGATCGATTGTTAAAGACCTATTTAATTAGCATGGAAATATGGCAAGAAAATAATTTAAAATTATCATTTCCTAGTTTGAATAGCATTAAACTTATTATAAAACTAAAGATATTATTGTAAGTTTATAAAAAAAAATTCTGAAATTAAATTTTTTTATTGAGTTAAAAAGAAAAAAAAAAAAAAAAAAAAAATCCTTTTCCTGTTTCATGAGTTTTCAGTACTGTACAAATTTCAGTACACTATTTATGTCCGACATCGTCCGTGCTTCCCAAACTACCCAACGAAAGTTTTCATTTGGGAAGTTTTGAAGCTTAAATTTGTGCCATACTAACCCAAATTTCAAAGTTCTGCCGTTATTGAGAATCTATCTCCTTCCAAATCTGACAATTTTAATTCCGTTCTAAACACACTCTGTCCCTTCTTTCTTTATTTCTTCTAAATTAATAATCCCTGTCAAATCTCCATTTTTGGTCTTTCTCACTCCCTGCTCTGATCTATGGAGACAAAGCTATCAGAAACTGCAATTCATGCCATTTTAGGCCCCAAATCCCTAATAAGTTCTTCAAGACATGACCCACGTTTCACACACAAAACCACTGTTAAACCCTCATTGAAAGTGCTTCAATTCAATCTAGGAAGAAAAGGGTATCGCCCAATTCAAGCTTCTTTGACTTCTCCCACCAGGTAATCCCATATCAAAAAATCTGCTTCATTTATGGAAATCCTCTTCTTTTTTTTTCTTTTTTTCTTTTTTTTTTTTTTTCTGCATTTTGTGCTTTAAAGATAGATAGGAATTTGATTATTGTCAATGAAGATGATCTCATTCTGCACACACACATGTATATGTTTGTTTAAGTTATTGTTGACCCTTTCATGATACATATTAAACCATGAATTGTTGTTCGAGCAATACAGACAATAGTTGGAATTAAAGGTTGGGTTGAACTAAGACTTGTGCATAGGCTTTGATTCACTGGGTTGATCTTCAAATAGCGTTTTGGGTTGAGTTCATATTAAACCATGAATTTTTGTTTGAGCAATGCAGCTAATAGTCTGAACTAGACATGTGCATAGGCTTCCATACATTGAGTTGATCTTCAAATTGCGTTTTGGGTTGATCTGAGTTGCAGTAAAATGCACATTATAACAATGATAGTTATTTGGGTAAATTACACTAACCTCTAACCTCTCTGAAGTTTGGGCAAATTATTAGTGGATGGAGCGTTTTACCTTTATTACTTTGACCTCCGTTAAAAGCGTGAAATGTCTTTCATACCCTTATCTAATTTAATAATAGTTTAATAAATAAAAATTTGTCAAACCAAAAGACTCTATTACCCTTTTTCCCCTTCTTGTAAACACTATACTAGCCTACCTATTTTATTATATATTTTTTTCTGCATTTTGTGCTTTAATGATAGATAGGAATTTGATTATTGTCAATGAAGATGATCTCATTCTGCACACACACATATATATGTTTGCTTAAGTTATTGTTGACCCTTTCATGATACGTATTAAACCATGAATTGTTGTTTGAGCAATACAGCCAATAGTTGGAATTAAAGGTTGGGTTGAACTAAGACTTGTGCATAGGCTTTGATACACTGGGTTGATCTTCAAATAGCGTTTTGGGTTGAGTTCATATTAAACCATGAATTGTTGTTTGAGCACTGCAGCTAATAGTCTGAACTAATAGGCTGGGTTGAACTGAGACATGTGCATAGGCTTCCATACATTGAGTTGATCTTCAAATTGTGTTTTGGGTTGATCTGAGTTGCAGTAAAATGCACATTAGAACAATGATTGTTATTTGGTAAATTACACTAACCTCTCTGAAGTTTGGGAAATTACACGTGGATAGAGTGTTTTACCTTTATTACTTTGACCTCCGTTAAAAGCGTGAAATGTCTTTCATACCCTTATATAATTTAATAATAGTTTAATAAATAAAAAATTGTCGAACCAAAAGACTCTATTACCCTTTTTCCCCTTCTTGTAAACACTATACTAGCCTACCAATATATTTTTTTTTTGTTGGAAAAAAAAAGAAACCTAATCAAATGTCATTAAAAAAAAACTTATTTTTGTAAAAATAATATAAAATTGGTATAAAAATTGACAGTTTCCATTTAATGGTATTTTGTTATTTTATGTCAAAATATAAGGTTATTGAGGTCTTTTAACACAAGGAAATGGCAACGTAGTCATTTTAAATTTTTTTATTAATGACGAGGGATGTTGTTGAGCACACGCGCCAAATCTTAGGGGAGGTCAAAGTTATAAAGGCCAAACGCTCTACCTGTGTGTAATTGCCCAAACCTTTGGGGAGGTCACTGTAAGTTACCCTAGTTATTTTGCCGTCTATCTGGCAATACTATAGTTTAGTCAAATAGATCTTTAGAAGGTGTGTTGGTAGGAACAAGTGGTATCTAAGCACTTAAATAAGCCCATTCAGACGGTAAATATCCAAATACCAGTGGAAAGTATGGAAAAGTACATCTTCCTGTATGATTATCGTATCGTAATGCCAGTTTCTAGATTCCTATTTCAGGAACCAAATTCTGAATTTCAAAATTTGACTCCATAAGAGTGAAGTTTTTATTTGTCTCTTTCACCTAATCGTTGGTGCATGGTTGAAAGTGAAAGCATGATAGCTATCTATTAGAACCAAGGGTTGCTATCTTAGAGATTGACATTTCCCGATCAACTTAGGGTTGTTATCAGATGGCCTTCACCATCATGATCTCTACATTATGAAGTGTACAAACTCTGATTAAATTTTCAAATTTAAATGGTGGTTAGTTAAGTGATAAAGTAGTAACTTCATTCGAGCACATCTTTATCAAAATCAAACAAAGCAGGTGTTGAAAAAAAATTCATTTAGTGGTTATTTCCTCTTGACCAGTTATTTTCTTTCGAAACAGAAAGCATTTTTTCGTTCATTCATCCAATTTCGAGTAGCATTTTAAATAGAAGTGTGTAGAAGTGGTAACTGTTATATTTTTCCTCAACTTATCCCCCTTTCGTGAACTGTATCCACCCTCTATGTCTCTTGAGATTAAATTGTATTTGAATGATCTGCAACATGACTTTGCATGTGTAAGCTTCAACACCCCCTTTTTATTGTGTTTGGACAGTCAGGAAGGGTATTTGGAATAGGGAAGGAAATGAAATCGATCAGATTTCTAATTATTAATTTGTATTACATAAATATAATTGAATTGTCAAAAAATTACAAAAAAGTAGAAATAAGACAGTAGAGCAAAGATTTCTTTTCTTTTCTGAGAATTTAGTTCCTTCCAAACCCAGCCATTTTCAATGACCACTTACTAAAATACATCCATTTTGAACCATCTGTTCTGTTCCAAATACTGATTCCTTGCTTACTGTTTTTTCAAGCGCAGCGATTGCTTCTTTCACCAGACTTTATTTCTCTTTATCTTCTTTTGTCTGCACCACCACTACTGAAACCGAGTACAGGTATGACTTACAAGGGGCGCAATCCACCCCCATAAATCCAAAAATTCAAAATTGAAAACACTTCCCAACAAAGGAAAAAGTTACCTCCTCCAACCACCACCATCACTTAAAAGGCTGGCAATCAGAAAACGACAAGGTATTTTTTCCAAAGTTAGATCTCACACAAGAAAAGCAGGACAGAGGTACTCTACTCCAAAGCGTCTAGGGTAAAGTTGCTCTCCACTGTATAGCAAAGAAAGAAACAGAGACTGTTTCTTCAAGATCCATCTGTGCCTGTCACTTATTTTGAACAACTATGGAGGCAAAGCTATCAAAAGCTGCAACTCATGCCATTCTAGCCCCCAACTTCCAAAATTCTTCAAGACTTGAACCACATTTTGCATCCAAAGCTTCATTTAACTGCATGAAAGTTGTTCAATTCAATTTAGGAAAAAAAGTGTGTCGTCCTATTGAAGCTTCTTTTTCTCCCATAAGGTAATTCAAGATAAGAAATCAACTACCCTTTTGGACCCCCTCCGTCTAGGGTAATTTAATAATTGTTATATGATTCTTTCTCTGCGTTTTTGTTTTTTTGGGAAAAAATTTATTGTTGTATTTTCTATGGTAAATAATAAACCATGATTCCTGTTCTACAGCAAACAATTGGAATCAAGAGTGAGATTGATGACCATTTTCTGGTTTTAAAGTGTATACTGACATGCATCACATATATCATGATTTTATGTACATATAAAAAACCTATCGAGGACCTTGCATGTAGGCTGGGGATGATGATTTCTGCATTTCAAAATCACACCCCCTTTTTATTGTGTTTGGACTGTCAGGAAGGGTATTTGGAATAGGGAAGGAAATGAAATCGATCAGATTTCTAATTATTAATTTATATTACATAAATATAACTGAATTCATTGTCAAAAAGTTGCAAAAAGGTAGAAATAAGATAGTAGAGCAAAGATTTCTTTTCTTTTTTGAGAATTCAGTTCCTTCCAAACCCAACCATTTTCAATTACCACTTATTAAATATCTAAATCCATCCATTTTTTTTTTTTTTCTTAGTTGGTACTCACACACACATGCCTCCACTGAGGCTTAAACCCCTGACCTCCCTTTTGGAAGTAGGAGTCTGGTATCGCTAGGTCACTGGCCTGTTCATTTTGAACCATCTGTTCCGTTCCAAATACTAACTCCTTGCTTACTGTTTTATCAAGCGCAGCGATTGTTTATTTCACCAGACTTTATTCTTCTTTTGTCTGCTTTTAGCCCCCGCAACCACCCCACAGACGGCCCACCATCACTATTGAAACCGAGTACAAGTATGACTTACAAGGGGCACATACCACCACCCCATATGTCCAAAAATTCAAAACTGAAAACACTTCCGAACAAAGGAAAAAGTTATCTCCCCCAACCACCACCATTACTTAAAAGGCTGGCAATCAGAAAACGTCAAGGCGTTTTTTCCGAAGTTAGATCAGCATATGTACACACAAGAAAAGCAGGACAGAAGCACTCTAAAGCGTCTAGGGTAAAATTGCTCTCTACTGTATAGCAAAGAAATAAGACTGTCTCTTCAAGGTCCATCTTGTGCCTGTCACTTCTTTTGAACAACTATGGAGGCAATGCTATCGGAAGCAGCAACTCGTGCCATTCTAGCCCCCAACTTCCAAAATTCTTCAAGACTTGAACCACATTTTGCATCCAAAGCTTCATTTAACTGCAAGAAAGTTGTTCAATTCAATTTAGGAAAAAAAGTGTGTCGCCCAATTGAAGCTTCTTTTTCTCCTATAAGGTAATTCAAGATAAGAAAATCAACTAACCTTTTGGACCCCTTCCGTCTCTGCTTTTTGTGAATGAGTTTTAATTTTAGTTATTAGAATTTAATAATTGTTATACGATTCTTTCTCTGCGTTTTTGTTTTTTTGGGAAAAAATTTATTGTTGTATTTTTTATGGTAAATAATAAACCATGATTCCTGTTCTACAGCGAACAATTGGAATCAAGAGTGAGATTGATGACCATTTTCTGGTTTTGAAGTGTATACTGACATGCATCACATATATCATGATTGTATGTACATATAAAAAACCTATCAAAGACCTTGCATGTAGGCTCAAAATCTGCATGCAACTTTAGTCCTAGCCATGTAGTTGAAAATCGAAGGTGCTATTTGCGGCCTGCTTGGGGTTATTTGGGAGAGTGGGCTCCAGACAAATTCCCATATAACTCGGTAAAATTGTGGCATTGGCATGTTATTCCACAAACACATGTAAACCTTGATGATATACTCGGGGAAAAAAAATCAGTAATTTTTTTTTCTTCTTTTCCTGATGATATCCAAGATCATATATTTGCATGCACAGCCCATAAACATTCATTTGCTTTAACTTCTGATATTTTAGTCAGAACTTGGTCTGTCAAGCTGCATACATTAATTGGTATAAGTGCTAGCATGTTTATGAACACTGAAATGTAAAGTGATAAATTGAAATTTTGATATATACTTGACACGGTAATAATTCAGAATGATAGTTTCTTGAAAACCTTTGTTATGCATCTGTTAGCAATAAAAATTGTTTAAATCTAAATTAATTTGGTTACTATCTCTAACTTATCAAAAAATAAAATTTGATTACTATCTCTAAATAATTCCGGAAATTTTCTATGATGTATACAACTTTACTGACTAATCTTTTCTTGCAAAAGTCTCGTGACAAAATCTGTTAAATATTGAAAAGTTTCACTAAATAAGAAAATATTGTATATTGCATATCTATATAGAAAAAAGAGTTGCTATTGGTTTAGGTCCTCATGAGCATTAGATTATAAAATAATACAAGCAGACAACAAGGTATTTCCACATATTTGATGCTTAATACTTTTTAGAAACTATGCTGCTGGATCATGATAAGTAAATGGCAATATGTTAATGTTTTTCACTGTATTAACTGAAAATAAACTATTAACTGAAAAGGTTTTTGTTCTGCATTTTCGACTTTATAAGTTAGATACCAATTCCCAACTTTGTATTTCCTTTTCACACAGATATGCAAGCAAGAAAAGAGTGGATGAGAGTGAGAGCTTGACACTGGAGAGTATAAGACTCTCTTTAATACGACAAGAAGACAGCATTATCTTTAGCATTTTAGAGAGGGCTCAGTATTGTTATAATGCAAACACATATGATCACAATGCATTCTCCATGGATGGCTTCAGTGGTTCGTTGGTGGAGTACATGGTCAGAGAAACTGAAAAGCTTCATGCCCAGGTTACTAAATTTCCTTAGAGAATATATATATATATATATATATATAATGTAGAAAATATATATATATAATGTAGAAAATTAGAATGGTGCTGTCAACAGTTTTCTAAACGGATTTTTCCTTACAAATTAGGTGGGCAGATACAAGAGCCCCGACGAGCATCCTTTCTTTCCAGCAGACTTACCGGAGCCAATGCTTCCACCTTTGCAATACCCACAGGTAAGTGAGACTACATGAACTTATTTTGTCATTATTCTACTAGTTGGTTAAGAATGAACTTCCTAATCTGAAGCTTATATGCATTCTTTTGGCATATAATGTAATTTTATTGCAGATATTATTTGTAAGTCAATTTGTATTGTTTGTTTGATCCTGTAACATGCTGTTTTTAGAAATGCACTTGAAACTTATCCTTGAGAGTTTGTAAACATCGACTGTCAGAGATAGATAGCTAGACATTTTAGTTAACAGTTAGTTTTACCATATCATATTGAAGAAACATTCTGGCAATGGTAATTTCTAGTATATTCTTTTTTTTTGGAGTGTGTTTGTAGAAGTCTTAATGTGAACTTGACTTTTAGTTTTCAGTTTTAAGAGAAACAAAAAGAATTATCTAAATGCTTTGTAGGAAACCAAATGGTTGATTTTGAAATTTATGTATAAGATAAAATCATACGGTTTGCATTGGACGTAGGTAACCCATACGACAGGGACCAACTGGATGTCAATCTTTGTCGTATTTCTGTTACATATAACTGACTTGCAAATATATGGAAGCACATCTCTGCACCTTGTTAACTTGAAAATACTGTTTGGGGACTTCTTGTTGGCAATGCTGTGGACAAAGTTAACAATGACATCACCTAGTCATTTACAATGTTGTATACCAATATGACAACGTAGAACAATGATCGAATTAATTTTTTTGAATTTGAATGCTCTTTTCCTCCCTTTTGGTTATGAGTAGAGCAATCTTCTAATAAGGTCCAAAGACAGACAAGTAACAATCCATCAGAAACCTAAAAGTATCTCATCCAAAAATTATATATGGATTTATAGACACAAGAAAGACTTGGACATCTAGAAGTGCATATATCTCAACATACGTTGCTGTTTCTTATACAATGAAACATACTCTCCCTTAACATACCTCTTGGTCCTCCCCTTCCAGAAACATCACATGAGATACAGGGGCTACTGCACTTCTCTAACATTTCCCAGGGACCAGTTTGGTCACCGTCTTGACATCTTCTGCATGTACCTGTGAAACAATATGATCTATTACAATTTTGATTTGTTTGTACCTTCTAGTTGAACTGCACATGATTATCCATTTGATTGATGTAATGAGTCATGTTCCTCACTCATATATCTGAAGAAAACATTTCTAGCTGCATTAGTGCTGAGTTGTTGCTTCATTGGCTGATATCATCTGTCTTTTGTTCTGACTTGTTAATAGGTTTTGCATCCTTGCGCTGATTTGATCAATATAAACAATAAGGTCTGGAATATGTATTTTAAAGGTCTTCTTACAAGAATGGTAAGAGGTGGGGATGATGGTAATTGCGGATCAGCTGCCGTCTGTGACACCATGTGCTTGCAGGTACTGTTGGAGCTGATTTCATTGAGATATATTAGCAACTTTTAGCTAACTTGAACTGTTAAACAGGGGAATATCACTCTGATGTCCTTAAATGCTTTTATTTACATTTATTTTATATAATTTATCTGTGCTCTCATTCAGTGGCACTAAGTGATATAGATAAGTACATTGTGTATCCACACTAGTATTATAGATCGGATTTCTACATAATGTTTAGATGTCAAAAAGCAGTTTTGGAGCAACAACCGAACTTATATTACTAAACTTTACAATAACGGTTTTAGGCAATTCTATTATTGGCTGATTACTCTCTTCATCATGCGTGGATTTCTTTGTTCCTCACTCACTCATGGTCTGCCATGATGCAGCTGTAGTTATGGAAAAATGCAGGGAAATGAGACCCACAGTTTGATAGCTACCTGTGGACAGCTCTCTGCCTGAAACCAACCTCATGTAACTATGGCTATCTGTTTTATCAGGCAATATATATGCGTGTATGTTACAAGGACAACAATTTGATAGTAAATGAGTTAAATGTATTTCCTTTGCATGGAAAATATCCTTTCTGGGACCCATTGTTGCTGAATGTTGCTTCTTAGATGAAGACCAGGAGTGGCATCAGTTTTAACATGGATTTGTTAATTCAACTCCCCTCATTTGTTTTTGTTGCTGTATCTACTTCTTTTGCTGTGCTAGATTATCAAACTATCGATCAGACAAGATAAAATTTAGTGGAAGCATCAAAGCAGGCTGCAAAAATTTATTTGGGTCCTTAGTACTTCCCCTTGGCCTTTTTCTTTTTAGTTGGGGTATGGGTAGAGATTGTATATCTTTAGATGAGATCATGGACTTTTTGGGATCTTTGGGTCCTTAGGACTTCCCCTTTCCCTTTTTTCGGTTTTTTTGTACAGCTCTTGGGACGCATTCCCTTCTTGAACCCTTTCTAATACATTTTTACTCATCAAAAAAAAAAAAAAAAAAAGCAGGCTGCAAAAATAACAATAGGCGGCTGTCTTCACCTTCTTCCGGCATTTATTCAGTTTAATATCTTTGCAGCTGACACAATAAGTTGAGATTGAGGTTTTGTTATATTATCTGTGTGGACAGTGTTTGTACTAAAAAATTATGTCAGCCTTTTGCTTTCTCAGCAATATATGAACAAGACAGTTTCTAGTGGTATAAAAATAAACCAAAATTAAATTTCATATTCAAATTATGGATATGTTCATTTCATTTCTTCATAGAATGAGTTTTGCTAAAGCTCTGCCTCTCTTATCTTCTGGTGGACTATCTTGTTTTCTTCATTGTGGTTGCAGGCACTTTCAAAGCGAATTCATTATGGCAAATTTGTAGCAGAAGCAAAATTTCAAGAATCCCCAGCCAGTTATGAGGCTGCCATCAAAGAGAAAGTATGCTTTCTATTCTAGATTAGTTCTGCTCATTTTCTTTATCTGCATTTATATTATAAAAAGGATGAGCAAATTTCTCCGTTTCTCCTTTATGTAATCCTGTGCTGGGGATGTTGTTGATCTTTCAGGACAGGGCTCAACTTATGGAACTACTGACACACGAACGAGTAGAAGCGGCAGTTAAGAAGAGAGTTGAGCTGAAAGCCAAGATGTACGGCCAGGAGGTGAAAATCAAGCCCGAGGAAGAGCCAGTTAATCCAGTATATAAGATCAAGCCGAGTTTAGTTGCCAACCTCTATGGAGATTGGATCATGCCTCTCACAAAAGAAGTTCAGGTGGAATACCTGTTGAGGAGGCTGGACTAAACCTCCAGTCGCTTTCTGGCTGCTTGTAAACCACTCCGGTGCAATGTTTTGAGCTTGTGTAATCAAGCATTAGAATGTTCGGGTTCGAATCTGAAGACAGCCACCTCATCCAGATAAAGCTGAAGGTTTGGTTTTTACCAAGATCAGCCCCTCCTACCACCTCAAATTTTCAGGAACAGCAATCTCAGGCTTTTTTTTTTTTTGTTTTTTCAAGTGCTTTGTAGATTAATGAGAAACAATTACTTTTTCTTCTTGTTATGCAAGTTTTAATCAATTTGGTGTAGCTCTGTCATTTTCTTTTGTTGCCTGACTGCACAATTTAGAAGGCATATGTTTAGTCATGCATTTCGTCAAAAATATTGAAAACATAATTGATAAATTCTTCTTTTTTAAAGTGTTTTCACATTAGTTGGAATCTTCCAAACTTCTAACTTTACCCTTGATAGTTTTTCATTATTTACTATACATATTTAATTTACTTAACATTTTATTCAATTTTTATTTTCTCTGAAGAGGCTTGTCTTATTCTCTAAGATTGTAATATTATTTTTATTTGAAAAGCATTTGAACAATTTTCTTCTATTTTATTGAGACTAATTATTAGTAATTATAAATTGACAAAAAAAAAAAATTGCTGGGAAAATGCTAAGCATGTTTGAATAGTTAGCAAAAAACAAAAATTTAGTTTTAAAGAATGAATCCTTTTTCAACAAAAAAGAAAAGAAATAATAATAATTGCAAAAAATCAGATAATTTTAAAAGAGTATAAATGGAAGATTTAGAATCTATGTTATAAGTTTTACTGGTTTTATTAAAAAAAAAATTACAAGTCTTTGTGCCATTTAAGATTTAAAAGGGCATGCTTGGATTATCATAAAATAGTTATCAGAAATTCAAAAAACATAAATATTTTAGAGAGAGACAATTCTATAAAAACATGTCTTTTTATAACCGAGTTTTCAAAAAAAACAGTTCTCTAAAAATATGTCTTTTTATAACTGAATTTTCAGAAATAATTTTCAAATAATTATTAAGTATAATTTTTGTACAATTTTTTTATTTTTAGTCGTCACTCTAAGTGACAAACCAAACAACCCTTTACATATAATGTGTGTGTGTGTGTATAAATATGTAACCTCAAGAAAACAAATTATCACAAGGCATGCTCTTTAAATAACTTTGCAACCAAGTATATGATACATAACCAACGTCATCTTTGGACATGATTTCTTCACATAAACACACAACCAACATCTTGACTTCAAGATTTATCATTATAAACATACTTAGCAAGAAATCAAACAAGAGAGCACAACAAAAATCAAAACTTAATAATTTAGACACCCCTACCTCAAGAATGCAACTCCAAAGTCAAAAATTCCAAACTCGAACCTCGCCAAATGCATGCAACATCGGTACCAAAACGAAGCCCTTGTCATGATCTATTACTTCTCTGCTCGGCTCAAATCTTCCTCAAACTAGAGGAAATCTAGATAATAAATAAATAAATAAATAAATAATAAATAAATTGCTAGGAAAATGCCAAGCATGTTTAAATAGTTACCAAAAAAACAAAATTTTAGTTTTAAAGAATGAATCCTTTTTCACCAAAAAAAGAAAAATAATAATAATTGCAAAAATTCAGGTAATTTTAAAAGAGTATAAATGGATGATTGAGAGATTTAGAATCTACGTTATAAGATTTACAGTCTTTTTCAAAAAAATTACAAGTCTTTGTGGCATTTAAGATTTAAAAGGGCATGCTTGGATTGTTATTTAGAAAACAATTCTCAAAAACTCAAATAATAAAAAATTATTTTTAGAGAAAGACAATTCTCTTAAAACATGTCTTTTTATAACTCACAATCATCTTAGACCACCATTTGTCGTAGCGAATTTCATAGCATCACATTAAATATATGCAGACAATCTCAAAAAGCTCCAACGTTAAAATAATATCCGGACTTAATGCATGATTATGATCCAGATAGAGACTAGAATTTTCAAAAACATAGTTCTTAAAACATGTCTTTTTATAAATGAGTTTTTAGAAACAATTTTCAAATAATTGAATCAAGTAATTTAGGGGAAAAAACACCCTCCGCCATTAAACAATTTACCTTTCTTGGGAAGAGTGAGCGTCATTTTTAAGCAGAGGATGAATGTTTGTCTCTGGAGTCCGGAGTCTCTCTTTGGCAAGCAAATCCTTGGCACGTCCAGTGCCAAGTGGTTGGTGGAGGCGCTGCCACCTAATACCACATCAATTAATGATGCCACATCAGCGCCATATGAGATGGAGTAAAACTTTTTACTGATATACTACTATGGATTACTATATGCTCTATTTATACTATACTTTATTCCTTAAAACATTTACTTAAACAATATAAAATAAAATATATATGTATACATTTACTTTACCATTTTGGTCTGAAACAAAAAGTCAGAAATTTTAAAATTTAAGACCTCTTCGTCTTCTCTTCGTTGTCTCCCTCCTTTTGGTTTTCCTGTTGTAGTAGTGCACCTCCTTTCTTCCTCCAATGGAGTCCCTTCCCTTGGTATTCCTCTAATTTTTATCTTCTTTTCCTTAATTATTTGAACGAAGTTGCTATTGATTTTGTGAAACCCTAAAGAAGCAACACGAATGTGACTGGTTTGTCAAATAATGGTTAGGATTAAAAGTATTGCGAGAAGGAAAAAGAAATCTTTAGCCAAAACAAACACTTTAATGAGATCTGGAGGTGAAAGGTGATAAAGAGGTAAAGACTATGTAACGACCCAAATCCGGGGATCCAGATTATTAACCGGGTCCTTACCCAAACCCGAGGACATACAAGGGTATTATGGTCATTTCACCCTACATTAGTACTTTAAGACCCATCAAGGGTAAAACGGTTATCCACTAAGGTTGTCCAATGATTTAAAATGAAATCCTGGGGCAACATAATCATTCGACGTCATTAAAATAAATCTAGAGTCCATAAAGATAAAACGGTCATTTGACATAGTTAAATAATACTTTGAAACATAAAATGGTAAAATAGTCATTTAGTACACTTACTATAGCTCCACAACTCATCAGAGGTAAAACTATCATTTTCTATACCCATTCTATACTTTAGTTGAAGTTTGGGGGTAATTATGTAATTATATTAAATTTTGGGGTCAAACAGTGAATATTGGACCATATGTGCACACACTTGGTGGATCTATACGCACAGATAACCATCTTTGTGCACACTTCGTCCATCCTATCGGTAAGATGGCCATTTTAATAGAGTTGCAAAGTTGAGGTACCATCTGTGCACACACATGAAGGGATCTGTATGCATAGATGAGAACATCTATTAGCACAGATGACTCCCAGATCTGATCCAAAATTAATGTGATCGAATAGATCACTCCTCAACCCATCCATATTCATCCCAAACACCAAGATCATAAGAATATAAGCCCATAAAAATCAAAATATGCAAGATTAATATATATTTACATCCATTAATCATGCCATTTATACATTATTTAAAGATCAAACTATACAAATCCTTTTTACACAATTGCAAAGAGTTTTAAGTACAAAGGTGAGGCCGTCATGGCCGTAAATACAACATCATAATATAATGAAAATCCTAGTGCTGTCTAAGTCTGTTAATGCAAGTCTTACGCCAAATCATCTCCGATTCCTTGAAAATGTTAAGATAAGGGGTTAGCTCAATAGCTCAGTAGGAAATGCGTAAAGTATCGGCTTTAGACTCACTTGAGTCGACAAATAAAAAACGGGAAAAAGAAGTCGGGATCATATTCGGGGAATTATCAAAACCATAATCCACACCATTCATATTAAAAAATTATCATCATATAATCAACCATTATCAAGAATGCCAATATGCCATGAAATGCAGTGCCTTCCCAATCATAGTCCCGGCCCAACACAACACACATCGAAAATCGCTAATCGACTTTACCGAGGTGAGATTGATTAGATATCCCTGGTTCCAAATCCTGCAACTATTTGGGGCTTAATAATCAATGTTACACGTCCAAATCTGGCATGCGCTCCCTCTAAGTCAAATTAGCCCCGGACTCGTGAAATTCAATTCCTTTCACAAAAAAACCATTTCTTTCACAAAATATTTCTCTTTTGAAAATATTAAAACATTAATTCTTTCCACAAAACTTTTCAACACAAATTTATAAAATCATTTCACCCTAATCCCCTTACCATACCCATGCCATGGAGGAAATCATGTATGAATGAAATCAACATATACATGCTTTGCAACTTTATCAATTTAACCTTACATGCTCATCATCGTCGTCGTCGTCGTCGTCATCATCATCATCATGTATATCTATGTAACCTCAAGAAAACAAATTATCACAAGGCATGCCCTTTAAATAACTTTGCAACAAAGTATATGTATACACAACCAACATCATCATTGGACATACTTTCTTTACATAAATACACAACCAATATCTTCATTTCAAGATTTATCATTATAAACTTACTTAGCAAAAAATCAAACAAAAGAGCTCAACAATAATCAAAACTTAATAATTTAGACATCCCTACCTCTAGAATGCAACTCCAAAGCCAAGAATTCTAAACTCAAACCTCACCAAATGCATGCAACACCGGTACCAAAACGAATCCCTTGTCACAATCTATAACTTCTCTGCTCGGATCAAATCTTCCTCAAACTAGAGGAAATCTAGAGAGAATGGAGAGGAATATAGAGAGAGAAAGAAATGTAAAGAGAGATATAAGGTGCCGGATGAGAGACGAAGAAAATGAGGTCCAAATATAGCCTCTAGTCCTTTATAAAATGAGTGGTCAATAATGAGTCACCCTTTAACCCTCCAAGTTACCATAGTGGCCTCCCTTTTCAAAATTAATTACACACATATCACATAAATATCTCTTTCTCACTTAACTACACTAACACTCATATAAACATACACCTTAATTAAATAAATAGATCAAGGAATCAATAGGAGGAAAAAAATAATGGAACCCACGTGGCGCGAACACCAAGGTGCAAAAAATAATATAAATAAATAAAAATACCGAGAAATCCATAAAAAAATCTGGGACATTACAAACTACTAATGTCGCAGTCGATTTTGGTAATGAGAATTCGTCAAAGGGGTCTGCTGAAGTATTCTTTTTCTATAGGTATATATCCACATTCAATTACACTTTAATATTTGTTATTTTTATTAAATTTGTTAACTGAATTTATATATATCCACATTCATTTGGGTTTACAAATTTAAATCGTAAATTGATTTAAGTTAAAGTGTAACAAAAAGTGATGCATTGTTGAAATGACATTGTGATGCATATGTATGAAATTATTGTGTGATAAGTAGGAGTGAATTTGTCAAAGATTATTGTAAAAAAAAATAGACTCCCTGAAAATATTGACGAAGAGCTCATGAAATAGCTCATGATGAGGCAAAAAAATCATGGAACTTAATGACTTTGAAAGAGAAGTCCCCATGTAAAGTTGAACTAAAAAGACCATGAATGATGTCAAAAGAGAAGGGGGAAGGAACCAAAAAACCCAAAGAAGTTAAGCTAATACATTATATTGTGTGCTAAACTATATTTTGCTTACATATCCAATGCATGATTTATTGAATGACTTTAATTTACAAATTAAATTTTAATCCAATGATAATGTAATAATTGATACATATGATTTGTTCGAATGATGTTCTTATGATATGTTTTAGAAGCACAAGGAAAATAAGAAGTAAAAAAGGGAGGGAAAAAAAGGTGCCTGGCAGAGAAGCAATCTTAAACTATTTGTGGGAGCAGTCTCACAATTTGATGAAAAAAAAGGGAGGTTATTAAAGAAATTGGTTTTTCTAATTTGATCAAACTGAAATGTAAATATCTGTCATGTGAAATTTACATGTATTTAATTAAGAACTTTGATTCTGAGGAAGATCGAATTAGAATTGAGGACATAGGGTATTTGGGAATAGATTCATATAGTGTGGAGCCCATCTTAGGCATACTTGCAGAAGATTGTAAAGTGCCAATAAATGTTAAAATTTTTAAAGTCAAATGGATAAAGGAAGGTGGATACAACACTGAGGGTGGAATACTCATGAAACGTTTGTACGATATAGTTATTCATATGACGGTTGAGTATGAATTCAAACGAGTTTATATCCTTTTTGCATGTTCTACTGTACTTATCCCAACTGGGTGAAATCATTGCCATTGGGGGTTGTTACGAGCCGTTGACGATGTTAATTCAATTCGGAGATACAACTGGTATTCTTATGTTAGAGGCTGTATGATTAACACAATGCGACCACCTAAAAATGTATGCCGTAATATTTTCAATATTGTAATTGAATATGTATCTATGATTGTAATATTTAAATACAATATTTCACATATATGTATTTAATTTCTTATATGTATCATGGAAATATTGTAGTCAATGTTTGGCGATACCCTATGTCGACTTGAACTAAAAACAATGTTGGGCAATGAGTGGTTGATTGGTTATGCGAGTGGATTATTCCAAGTGTATTTGTCTTGATGGTCACTATGTTCATGAATTCTGGAAATAATTATATTTCATCTTATTCACAAGTGATTAATTACTTTACAAATATGTCGAACAATTAGTAAGGAATTAACAGGAATAAATATTTTTTCCAATGCGACTCCATTACCTTCATGGTGTAACATAAGTTGGTTGTGTGCAAGAATGCCTCAAAGCGAAAGGCTGGCTTGGAAAAAGTTTGGGTACGATACAAGAAAAATGTGAAACCTGACTTGATAGAGTTGAAGAAATCAAGCATCGCTTATAGTTGCGTATCAAATGTTATGAATTTAAAATCCTTCCATGACTATGCCCTTATTATGGACTTACCTGATTACAACTATTTTTATCAACCAATACATTAAAGCACTGATTATTGTTGGTGGTCAACCGTTCGAAGAAGATGATTGATTACATTTGCTAGTGGGGGAAAAATTAATACGGAATCTCAATATATAAATTTTTTGGTACATTCCCAACCAATATGGCATACCTTTTCTTTCGGTAACCTTTAATTATTTTGAATTTACCAATTATCGAATTATATGACAAAAGAGTTTTATGAAGTTATGTTTGAAGAAGAGTTAGATGATTATGGAACCAACATATAGACAAATATACCCGTTCAGCCTGATCTGTATGTAAACTTAATTTAAAGGACACGTGTTGATTTCAATATGTATTTTAATATATTTATACTAACCAATTGGTTGCATAACATGGATTCTTGTATTTTTTTTTATGAGGTTCATGAAGTCTTGGAATGACAAAATTTTAGACCCTGAATTTTCACATGTAAGTAAATTGAAGATCATTTTCGTCTCCTAAATTATTTAAAATTTTGACTTGTATTGAATTATGTTTGAATTTTTTTTTTTTCTTAATGTTGTAGAGAGATGCATTGGCTATGCATTTGGAGCTCCTGCTTCAACTTTTGGAGGATCCCATAAATGAAAAACACAATGAATTGTACTACCTCGCAAGACTTTTGTAATTAAGTAGACAGTTTAAAAGTTAGGTTGTTACAAACAATGTTAATTAATTTTTTTTTTCACTGCATAATATAAATCACGAGCACAAAATACATTGACTTTTGATTTGTCAACTGATACATAATACATGTTCATCTACGTATGAAGGTGATGAAAAGTAGAATTACTCGCACAGTAAATAAAACTATGCCTCCAACAAAGAATGCAGTAATTTCATCTACGCATGCTTGTAGGATTAGTAATTTAAGTTATAATTTTTATCTTCGTATCTTCATATATTCATTGAAGAATATAATTTTTTTATTAATTTTAATGCAGTTCATTTTAATTGGTTGTATTTTAATGCAAAGTAACTTTTAAACAGATGACATATGTTTTTTTAATCAAATCACAAACATCCACATGGTAATATAACTTTAAAAAAGTTGTACCGTCACAATTTTATGAGAGGATATTATCATATACACATTTAAATATAACTGAACTCGAGAATTATAAAATATTACTATTGTTTTCCAATCTATTTTGATATTTGATTAAATCACATCAAAAGTAATTGCATATAAATGAGTTGTAAGACATTTTACTTAACACTTGGGGGGATTGTTATGAGTAATTGTGTAAAGTGAATTGAAATTTAATGTAGTAGTAAAGTACCATTTTCTTAAGTCCCATCTTCACTCAAACTTTTTTTAGTAATTTTTTTTTTTATTCTTATATGTTTAAACCGCCACCAACCAGAGTATCCTTTTCTCAAGTCCCATCACCACTTAAAAGTTTTTTTAGTATTTTTTTTTTATTCTTATATGTTTAAACCGCCACCAACCAAACATGTTCCTAACAAACTCAAACTCTGGAGGAAGGGGAAGAAGAGGAAGATGAGTAAGAGGGAGAGGAGTAAGGAACAACTCCTGGTCCAATCTACCAACCAACTCCAACAATAATGGAATTGGTAATACGAGTAGATAACCTAACCCTTGGTGTGGGACGATTATTCAACCTTATGAGGGGCTTGCAGAGACAAATGTGGGTGGTGGAGATGGGAGACCATGACTCTGTCATGAACTACTTAAATGCTTCTTCTCCTTTAAATCCTTTTGATAAGTGCTAAAATATGAACATTTCAGCCCCTAATATTGGGTATAATAGAACCTTTATCTATCTTTATTTTCTCATTTTAGTCTTAATTTGTTTTATTTTCGATTTTAAGTTCATAAGGCTTAAACGAGTTAAATCCAATGTCTTAAAACCCTTTAAAAAGTCAAACAAAGTCTTGGCGAGGAGTGGGAGCAACAGAAGGCTAAAGTGCAAAATTCACTATTCATCCTGATCGATCGAGCCTTATCCCTAAACAATTGAGCCTTCTTAATGATTAAGCCTTGAGCCTGATCGATCGACCCTTAAGCCTGATCGATTGAGTTCGCCGCAGAAGCTATACAAAAGCAAATCTAAAGCTCTTTCCGAACCAACTCCGGATGTGCTTGAAAGGGGAGATCCTTGGGCCGAGTTTTGACCATCCTAGTGCCAAAATCCGAGCATAGATAGAGGATGAAGCCTCCTTTGGGATGTGGATTGGAATTAATGAGAGGCCAAGCTTTAAAGACTTTTTCTTTCTAGAAATCCTCTTTCAACCATTGAAGATCTTGGGTTGTGCTTAAAGATGGAGACTGGAGTTTCAATGTTCATCTTCGTCATCTCTATGGCTAGCGATTTCTTCTCTTATGGCTTAGATTAAGCCCTAAGCCAAGTATTGTATTATTTGTCTTTAAATTTGGGGATTATTTGTGTAGATTGTTTAACCTTGCGAATTATACTTACTTGTACCTGTTGGAAACTAGTTATGAAAACTAGTGTTTCAAGTGTGAATGAAACTTGTCTGCAACTAATTTATAGTTGGGTGCCTATGTGTATCACGTTAGACTACGACGTGAATATCTTAGTGTAAAAGTTGCATGCAAAGTCCAAAAAATTCAAGTTTTTTAACATAACCTCTACCTATTCTTTACCATATTCTTAATGTTTAATGTGGTTAAGGATTGGTTAGAAATAGTTAATAAACTGTAATGAAGCATTGGATTACAATACATGTGTGAATGGGTGTGTTGGTTGAAAAGGTACAATAGAATAGACATAACCTATTGGAGTGGATGTGTCTAGTGGTGAACAGACACCATGTGAACTATTGCAACCTATTAGAGTGGATATGTTTAGTGATGAACAGATACCATGCAAACCATT